AGCATATGTGTTTTTAGAAAGTACACACCAGAGTACTAAAAGGTAAGGGGGTATCATGTCTGCATCTTACCATCAAGTGTTTTTTAAAAAATTATCTCTAAGGGTAGATAGTTATAAAACAATCGATAAAGCAAGAGTGGTAAAAAGTTAAACTTTGGGGAATCTGAGTATATGGTATAGGGGAATGCTTTGTGATGTTTTTGCAACATTTTTTTTATGTCCAAATTTTTTAAAATTTAAATAGGTGCCCCCATTTAAGTTTTGTAGGTCCACATCTGAACCAGACCACAAAAACTGAGTAGGATTTAGAAATGCCAGTGGGAAAGTGAAGCACACTCCATGCTAGAACAGCAAAACCAAAGGCACAGCCCAGGAATGAGACAGGAGCTCCGTGAGATAAACAGGAGCGGGGCCTGACTCGGGAGATAGCGTGTGCTATGCGGCAGCAGCAGCAAATATATGAGTTTAGATGGATGAGTGGGGACAGATTATAAGAAGGGAAAAGTCTGCAGCAGAGCTGTTGGTTTATGCAGTGGGCAGATTTTTGTGTAGAACTATTTTACCTTTGGTCCGTGGAAAAAAATGTATTAAGGAAATTTATGGTATAGTATAAAAAGATTTTAAACATAATATGCACTTAGAGAATTAGTGTAGAACAGCAATTTAGAAGCATTAGTTTGTTCAATCATTTGTAAGCTCTGTCCAGCATATCTATTCACTAAGCAGAACCTCTAAGAAATATAGTTCCTTTTAAATATATATTAATTCAAACCCATTTTCCACAGTAAATCAAAACAATATGGGTTTATTCTATGATGTTCTTTAATTTTATAAGAACATTTAAGGGTTTTGGAGATGAAACATATTTAGATCGTAATTTGGAGTCACAGAGAAGCCACACTGAGCAAGGAAATATTCTAAGTCAGGGATTAAGTCTAGCAAAAGTTTTCAGTTGTTGTGGAAGACAAAGCTGGACACACAGATCCACTGTTACATTTACTTGAATGCTATAATTGTGTCCTCTGGGTATATTGATTTAATAACATAGTTATTTAGAGTGGAAAAGACCTGCACTGTAATTTCCATAATTCTTAGTAGTGACACCTACATTTTCTCTTTGCTTTCCCGCTCTGCCTTATCCTTTCCCATCCCTGCTATACAAATATTCACTGTTTCTTTAAATCACATTTAATTAAAAGAAGGTTTTGGTGGTGTTTTGGGTTTTTTTTCCTCTGTTGTCTCATGTTGGGAGCAGGTTAATCCTGAATCTCTAATAAATGCAAATGGATTAAAGAAAATCATGAGTTCAAGATTATTTTAACTTCACTGGTATAATTGTTAATAGCTCCTGTGTCCCCTGGGATATGCAGGATTACATCAATTACATCGGTCTCTGTAACTGAACACAGTAACCATAAATGTGACTATTGTGTCTTCACCAGCACCCTTTAGGTATTTAATTTGCTTGGCTGTAATAGATTGTCAGAGCAGTAAACGTGAAACAAGTAATGCAAATGGTATAATGACGGTAATTATCTAAATGGATCGATCATAGTGTTATTGCAACGTGATAGTACAGGTAAGAGCAAGATATAGACATCTCATATAAATTCCCATTTTCAGCTTTATTTCCTTACACATTTTTCCCAAGACATTTAAAGTGAAAACAACATAAACTGGCATTGTCATTTTCTCCTTTATCTCTTCCCATTATCCTTTGTGCTATTGCTTTACTAAAACCAGCAGACCCCACGAAAGCTAAAATTCTCCAAAGAAATCAGTGACTTTATAGAATCAGAATCTAGCAGTTTCCCCTGTGATTCATGTTATTCAAATATTTGAACTGGAAGTCACTTTGTAGACTGACTAGTTCATTCTCTTCATTTAGTAACTGAGGAACTATAAATCCAGCAAGGTTAAATGACTTGATAAAAGTTACACAGTCTGGCATTGGCCAGTAAACTGCATCAGAATGGAACTGGAACCTGGCACCTACCCTCCCACCTGGGCTGGGGGGGACCTCATTGGTTCCACCAGCTACAGGTACAGATGAAATTCAGTGTGACAGGACAAAGCAATCCCTGAAGATAACAGCAACAAGTCAGGAAAAACCTAAAGTTTAGTTTGGGTGGGAAGTGGACAGAAGAAACAGCCTAAGGAAAATGAATACTTTAAAAAATCCAGACAGGCAATCAGCATGAGAACAGAAGGACTGGGTGGTATAGCAGATGACTGTCCGTCATGAGAACTGAGAGAATGTGGCAGGATCCCACCTCAGCAACTGGAACGCTAGGGGCTTGCTAAAGCAGGAATTCAGGCCCAGAGGAACTAAGTCAAGGACAAGGATTAAAACTGAAACCTGAAGAAGAAATAGGTGTTTGTGTCCTTGAGCTCGAACTATGACTAGGCTGAGATGATCTGACTTTGATCAAGATGGTGAGAGCACCTGACTTTCCCAGCAGTTTTGCTCAACTTTTATGCCTCCTCCTGGTTCAGTCTCTTCACCCACGTTTCATTGTTGATTAAAGTAACAAACTGATCTACATTAGAAACTTGTCGTGTATCTGCCAGAGAAAACATTCAAATCACTGGGAAATGCAAATAAAACCACACATAACCCATTCATTCTGCATTATTGAAACCAAAGAACACTTGAATTTCAAATCACTGTAGGAAGGAAAATAAACAGCACATACCCACAGCACACTTGCTGCAAGCCTGTTGCCCAGGGAAGGTGGGAGTGGGGGGTGCCGAGGAAACACACCCAGAATGAGAGAGCCCAATGCCGCGGTCAACACTGACCACAGGTGGACACGTGGCAGTTCCATTGCTGGCTATAGGGCAGGGCTTGAAAGTGTGCAGAGCCCAGGTGGCTGTCTCAGAGAGGCAACATGTCTGGGGAGAAGGAGAGGAAGAGAAAAGGGAGATGCCATTTGGATACATCGGTGTGAAATGAAAAAGGAAGAGGAAAATTCAAAATACTATAGAAATAAGAGAATATAAGACCAGCCTCCCCCAATCATTCATTAAAGAGGCTAAAACAAGGCTAAGGGCAAGGGTGGAAGAAGCCTATGTGAACATGATATGCACAGGTAAAGTAGAAAGAATGCAACTATAAAATGGTAGGAACAAAGAGAGGAAGGGGAAAACGTGATTGTTGCATATATATATATAAAATAGGAGGAAGTCAGAGGATTCACTTTTAACTAGACAGTAACAAATATAGACCAAAGAGGGGATAACGGACCCTATTAAAGAACCTGGAAGAGGTGGACAGGAAAAGGGTAGGAGGGGGAGGGACAGCTCACTAAGTATGCACCTTTTAGTATAGTTCTGACTTTTGGAATCATGTTAATGTTTTATATATTCAAAAAAATGAAATGAAATCAAGAAGAAGGAAATTAAAATCGAATACTATCAGAAACAAATTAACTGAACTGAATTTCAAATGAATAGCATAACTACACTGAAGGCGCTGGGTGGAGGGAAACAACTTTTTAACATATTATTTTTACTATATTACCTTCATCCTGAAGAAAAAACAAACCATGAACTCTTCTTAGTACTGTACTGTCTTTTCTAATGCAACAGTTTTGTGTGCATGGTAGGATTGAACAAACAAGTAAATACAACAAGTAAATACAACTATGTTCTCACTGTAGAAAAAGGGAGATACGAATATGAAAAGAGGGAGGCAAGGAAAAATTCTCGTTGGGAGTCCATGTTCTCACTGTAGAAAAAGGGAGATACGAATATGAAAAGAGGGAGGCAAGGAAAAATTCTGTGGGGCTTGGGGCACATGTGCTTGTGTGTGTCTGGGGGAGAAATCATTCCTCTGAAAGGTACTAGAAGCAGTGACTTTTTGGTAGCAACTGGCACATGTTACCACCCAGATTTTGGTTTCCAAATAGCATTCCCCAGCTAAAAGGAAGTAAAATTCCTTGGAGAAATGGCTGATTTTATGGGTGGGATGAGGAAAGAGCAAGATTGGCCTGGAACATCTCCCTGTGCCAAAAAAGAAAGGAGTTAAAAATGATAAAGATTGGTCAAAAAGATAGGATGCCAGCCTGCAGAGGCTCACCTGCCCAAAGCTGGGGCAAACGGAGTATCAAAATTAATACTTATAGTAATGGCTTTTAAGAATCCATGTATGCATACTATAAATAAATAGGAAATGCACTTCCTTACCATAGACTGTAAACTCATAAATGTAAATAGAATAATGGAGTTAGAAATCACCATTTGCAATCAGGGTAGTCATTGATTCAGACAAGAAATCATTGATGATTGCTAAAAATAGGTAGGCGAAAGCTTGATGAGCAATAGGATATTTTCGTAGTCTCAAAGTATCTCCTTACAAATCATTTATTAATTCTAAAAGGAAAGATAATAACTGTACAACGGAGAGATTTGGCTGTCCTGCACCTTAACCCAATAATGAAATTTAACATGTCCAGCAGCAGGATGCATGGACATCCTGTGACTGATATGATGCACTGAGAAGGACCCAGCATCACTTCTGTGCTGTCCACGCCCAATGTGTATGAGGAAGCTTCAGACAAACACAAATTAAGGGACAATCAAATTAAGGGGACTGGCCCCTACTCAGGAAGGAAAGGAGGGGAAGTGAAGAATAGCCATGGATAGCGTGAAAGACAAAGGAAACGTTCCAGATTAAAGGATGCTGGATGAATGGCAATGACAATTGAATGCAATGCATGATCATGGATAGGATTGTGGACTGGAAAAATTTGCTGTAAAGACATTATTGGGACAGTTGATGAAATTGGAATAAAGACTGCAGATCAGATCATGGTACTGTATTAATGTTACATTCCCAGAAACTGACAACTATATTGTGGTTGTGGAAAAGTATGTATGTCTGTTATTCGGAAATATAAATGGAAGTACATAGGGATAAAGGGCATCTTGTCTACAACTTACTCTCAAAGTATAGGGGAAAAAATGAGAAGGAAAGAGAATGATAGAGCAAATATAGCAAAATGCTAACAATTCATGAATCTGAAGGAAGGGTATGTGGGAGCTCTTTATATCATATTTGCAAACTGTAAGTTTAAAATTATTTTTAAGTAGTTAAAAAAACTGATAGGGAGAAACTATAAAGGAAGAGTGTTGATCTATGTACTACCTAAAAATCACACTATACTTTTGAAAATAGTGACGTAGATTCCATACCTCCATTTCCAAATGTCAAGCAGTGTTGAAGTGCAGGGGTAGGTAGAGCCAAGTTTGCTTGTGGGGTGGAGGCGGGGTGGCGCATGTGGCCATTGTGGGCCACCTGGGAAGGGTTAACAAGAACAGCTCAGGAAGTGGAAGCAGGTCACCAGATACAGAGGACAGTTCTTATGCCACCATTTCATGTTCCTTCTAAACCCTAATATGCTTATACTGATTACTTCCCCTCCCCCTAACTATTCCACATGCTAACCTAGTAACCATATTTAACATTCACATACCCACGTGGCTCTGAGGAGTATGAAGCAGTAATTTTTAAAAAAGGGGTGGGGAGAGGGATGCTTAAGTATAGTTCAGGTCTTACATTTCTCATTATCTTATGTTCAAAAGTCATTGATTAATAATGAAAATACCACATTCAGTTTACATTGGGAATTACGCTTTCATGACTTTACCTGAGATTCTTTTCTACGGCCTAAACAAATATTAGTCTGTGAGACTGTGACAGATCTTAATGAAGTGGATTAAGGCATTTCTTACATTTACATTTTCATAGAATGAAATAAACATTGTAATCTTTTTATGGAACACTCTCACATCAAGCCATGATTTGTATTTCTACCTGTTCAGAATATCAAGTTTTGCATTTCTTTAAAATGCAGTGTATTTTTGTGAGCAACTTGATAAGACAGAAGTCATCCCTGCCATATTTATAATAGTACTTAGAGCAAACTTGTCAAAGGTACTTCTAAAAGATTGTTTTAGATCCTACGGAGATATATTTAGTAACTGTATTGACTAAGTTGTCACATAACACAACATTCCATTGATTTATTTGTGTTATTTTTGTATCTTCTACAGGCAGAGAATTCAGCATTGGCTTTGGAAAATGAAAATCAAAGGGAGCAGTATGAGAGATGTCTTGACGAGGTAAAGTGGATGCAGAGGCTCATAAGAGGCTGGATTAGTTAGGGTTCCCTTAAGCATGTTTTAGTACACGTGTCACCAGCCTCCACGAAACATTCCCATTTTCTCCTCCAAGGGAACATTGTAAACACATAGACATTGAGAAGGAACAGTGTGTGTGCGTGACAGTGTGTGTGTGACTGTGTGTGTGTGTGTATTTGCCTCTCTTTCTCTCTTATTCCTTATACAGGTATCTGTAAATTCCTTTTGGTTATTGTTTAATATTCTTGGGGTATATTTGCCTCTCTTTCTCCCTTATTCCTTATACAGGTATCTGTAAATTCCTTTTGGTTATTGTTTAATATTCTTGGGGTATAATTCACTGTATGATAAATTCTTTCTGTCCAATGAGAGTCTTCCCTGCCTATGAATGACAAAAAAAATGCATCTCCAATTGGACGCCATTTCTGAGCACATCCTTGATAGAGTGGGTGGGGACACTGTTCACAGTCAGCAGCCTGAGGGGGGAAATGAGTAGATTGAGAGCAAGCTGATAAGAAAAAAGAAGTGAGGAAGAAAATAGGAGAGAATGGAAGAAGACAGGACCACACGCATGAGGAAGCTCGATAAATGTGATTGGATGATAGTGAAGAGAGGAGGGTGATGTGGTGGGTGTTGAGAGTTCTGGCAGGTGCAGGGAAAATTGAAGTGTGTGCAGAGCCCTTGGCTCCCCCAGCCGTCCCCCCATGCCATCGGGGATCATGCTGTACTGTACCTTCCTACTGGATTGGCCGTTTGCCCCGCTCACACGTTCTTATCTGGACATTGTCAGTGACTGGAGTCATTATTTCAATGGGACAACTTCTTTTGTCATCTGCCCCACGCCTAAAATTCACACATATTCTTGGAGATTCGTTTTGAGATGTGTTACAATGTAGGTGACACAGACTTTAGAAAAACAAAACTACCTTTAATCTGGTTTCTTTACCTTATCATGGAAATTACCAATATATGTTCAGTCATTTTCTCTGCACTAATAATTAAGAAAATCTTTTCCAACAAACCCTTCTTGATATTTCTTACCCTTTCCATCTCCCTCTCCTCCCACACACTATCCCAGAAATTGATGAATTGGACTGTAATGTACACAGGCTCAAATCCCAGCTGGGACACCATATCACCACCATTTACCTCTCATCCCTTCAAATTGGAAGTAATCTCTCCTCTGAGGTCCAGTAGTGCTTGATGGTTTCCTACACTAGTGGTTCTTCATATGTGGTCCCTAGATCAGCATCAGCCTCCCCAGGGACCTTGTTAGGAATTCAGATGCTCAGGCCCCACCCCAGACCTCCATAATCAGAGACTCCGGGGTGGGACCCAGCAATCGGTGTGTCAGCAAGCTCTCTAGGTGGTGCTGGTGCACACTGCAGTCTGAGAGGCACTGTCCGCATATCACAGAAAACTTTGTATTAGTTACTTATACATGGTTAAAGCACTCTTGAAATGTCCCCAGAAAGTTATTTGTTTAATATTTGATATTTTAATTGTTTAATATTCCCAGCCATATACATTAGTTACTCAGACAAAATGGTGTTTGCAGTTGTCTTTCCTGTCAGGACTTAAAAAGACCAAAATAATCTTTACAGTGTCCAAAGTTAACAGGATCACTGAAATTAGTTGACATAAAAGAGCATAATGGCTTGGAGTCTACTGAAGCCATTTCTGTAGTCCTCACACCTACCCGCTAGGCTCTTGGTCCAATCAAAGTTTAGGGCAAAGACCAAATAGATCCAAGGATATTTAAAGGAACACATCATGCCTTTGGCCATATGTATTGATCAGCAAGGTTTCACCTTAACCTCTTGCACAGAAATTTCCAATGAGACTTTATGTCTATTAAGAAGTCAAATTTATGTGACTCACCACAGAAACTTTTTGGTAGTCACAATTCTTCCATAGGTCATCCACCCCCATCAAAAAGCTTGCAACATTTCTTTATGGAAACTCATAGTCTGTTTCCTGTGTGTTCCCGTGCCTGTGTTTTATAGGTTTTGTCAGAAGGTGTTAGACAAAACATGAGTTTTCACCCACACAACGATTTCATATAAAGTTTTCACTGAAAACAGTTTTTAGAGGGAGAATCCCTCTGTTATTAATTGCAAAAATCAACTATTAACAATGAATCACCTCTGAGCAACACAAATGTTTTGTATTCATGAACACTGGCCCCTGATTACACATGCCAGTTGTTTTGTAACTAATTGCGTGCGGGTAGACAATCTATTTCTATGCATTGTAAGAGAACACTCTCAAAGGGGTAGTTGAATGTAGTAATAATGCCAACTGGAAATTCTTTTCAAGACTTTTTATACTAATTAGACAAACTAACAAGGTAAGGCCTCATGTAAGTTATTTCCTCGTGAGTGAGTTTCATAAAACATACACAGGTGGATAAAATGTAAATTCAAAATGTTCTTCAGTCCGTTTTGCACTGATTGTTACTTTCTGGGAAATGAACATATTGAGGATTTGGGGAAAATACTTGGGAGTCTGAAATTCCCTCTGTGTGTTTAATAAAAGCGTGCATTTATTCACAAGGAAACAGACCCAAATCCATAGGCACAACACACACACACACACACGTGCACACACACAACACCCTGGCTTGCTAGACATGCACACACACACAAGTGCATACACAAACACATGCACCCGTACACGCACTTCACCATCACCTCTACTGCTACCTATCTCATCTCCTTGTCTTGCAGTACAAGGGCAAAAACCAAGGAATAATCTTGTTTTTCCTTGGGAGTTTGGGGGTTTTCACATTTAAGTGCAGTTTCTTAGTCCAGCTATTTGACAGGCAGTTGCCTGGCAAGCTGCTTAATCACAGTATTGCTCTGGCCACACAGTTCCTTTCAAACTAACTATTCCCATGGAAAGGAGTATATTGACATGTGTAAAATAAGTAAAAGAACATCTCCTAAAAACACTGCATTTTGTTTAGATGGATTCAGTTGTGTCCTACAAGCCTTTACTGGGTGTCAGCCTCACCCAGACTCTGGGAGCTCACAGTGCTCCCATTCTGGCAGGAGAAGCAAGAGGGATGGCTAATCACCGAGTAACCGAGTGAGAGAAACAGCAAAGGAGCTGCACTGGGGGACTTCAGGAACATACAGGGCGGTCACCAAAGGGCAGGAGGAGCAGTGGGTGGGAGAGACGTGAAGGGGGCGGAATTAGAAAGGGAATCTTCAGCAGGAGCTGGAGCAGGTGAGGTTCAAGATCCAGAAAGGCGAGTGCTTCTCTCCTTACCTGCACATTGGACTTACCTGGGGGGCTTTAAAAATACTGCTGGGTGGGTCCCACCTCAGAGAGGCTGATGTCATTCTGGTCTGGAGTACAGCCTGGGCATTTGAATTGTTTAAAGCACCCCAAGGGGTTATAATATTCAGCTGAGATTAAGAACCGCTACAGTTAGGTTCTGTGAATACTGTGCTTTACAGAGTGTTTTCAGAAGGTGTCAGGAGGAGGATGATGGCTCCTCTGCCAAGCTTAGATAGTGACAGAAAAGCACAGCCCCATGTGGGAGTTCTGGGTTATTTCTTATTCCTTGACAAAGTCTGAGTTAATATAGAGCTATAAGCAAAACAAAAAAACAAAACGAACAGACCAAAAAAAACCCATCCCAGTGTTTCTCAAAGTGTGTGCCCGGGCCCCCCTGCATCAGGGTATGTGGTCATTGCTGGAAGTGCCCGGTCTCAGACCTCTCTCAGCCCTTCTCAATCAGTATGTGGGGAGAGGAAAATGGCAATTTCACGGACATTACAGGTGGGACTTCTTCCCATGAATTTGGAGAATCTGCCCTCCCCTTCAGACCATCTGACCTGGCCTGTGTCCTTGCAGTCATTGAGGATGCTGTTGTTGAGTTCTTCTGTGACCTCTGCACTTCAGAGCACAAGGACATGGAAAACTTGACCTTTAGATGTAGTTCAGAAATAGAAAAAAATCCAGAATTTCTTTTAGACCAAGGCTAAATACCGAATTAGGTAGTTAAGAACAGTTCTCACTTGTCTCTCTGACCCATATGCTGTGTTTGTAGACTGACTGTGGAATCACTACCAGAATGTTCTCATGCATACCCCACATCTGAGCCCTACATAATCTTTAAAGTCACTGTCTTGGTAGATGTAGATGGGAAATGATCCTGCCTATGGCTTTCACATGCTCTAAATGCCCGTTTCATGACTGGGTCATGAAATTAACAGATGATCTACTTCTTGTTTGCCTCAGACTTCAGCAGCCTTGAGACAGCACCTGCATTCTGTTTGCCATTATTTCTCCAGAACCCAGCACAATTCTTGGCCTGTACTAGGTGCTTAATGCATATTTGTTGAATGACTAAATGAATGAATGGAGATTATCAGCAGGAAATTAATTTCCAAATTAGTTTTTCCCCAAATCCCACATACATATTTAGCCTAATTTCTTCAGTTATCTCCTCAGAGATGAACACTCATTTATTATGTACCAACCCGAAAGATAATCCAAAGACTAAATCAGCTGGAAAAGAATAGTTGACCCACTTAAAAGAGTCTAATTTCAATTAGAAAAGACCACATGGGCTTTTGACTAGGAAGATGGATTCAAACACTGTCACAGCCACTGTCTTTCTGTGTTATATGGATGGGGCAGTGTATTTATCTCTTCAAGTCTTTCTCATTTGAATTTTACAGGATTGGTTTACAAAATAAATGAATAATATAGGTGCTTAGTAACTTGTATTTATATGTGTATATTATATATATATATATACACACACACACACACGTACCCCTTATTTCTTTACAAATAAAATTTCTTATTCTTAATCCATTCTTTCTTAATTGCTTACATGAAAATGCATCATATTCTCTGAAGTTTAACTGCCGTGATTCACATTTAACGTTTATAGGGTGACAACTTTATATCAGGTCCTGTCCTAGGTGGTTTCTCTGAGTATGTCTGTGATCTCGTACATTTTTCACAACTTTAGAGGTAGATGGTTCCTCTGTTCTGTGGATGAGAAAGATCTGGTTGCTCTCTCATCCCTGTACATGTCAGTATATAACCAACACAAGCAGTTTTTGAACCCAAGTCTGTCTTGTAATTCTGGCCTGAAAGTCCTCTCACTTTCCCCCAGCTCAGAACAATAAACCAAGCTCAGAGGCGCAGAAAATTTCTCCAAAGCATGTTTTCAAAAATGTATGCTTTATCGACCAGTTTTTTAAGTTACCTTGCTGACGGGACAGTTGCTTTGTATGATGACATAGCACATGAAAGTATGAACACAAGACCAGCAGGCAGGAGAAGAGGCCTGTCTGAGCAGGATGCCTTTTGAATTCCTCACTCCCCCACCTGCCACCCCAGCCACTGGCTGTCTTCTCAACATGGTGAGGATTGTCTCCTCTCAGTAAGCTCCCTAGTGTGGCTTTCATTCAGCCTCAGGGACTGTTTTGCAATGAAAATACCAGACATCTTTCCTACCCCAACTTCCCTTCCCTCTGCCTTCCTCCTTCCAGGGGAGTGTGTGGAGGAGCCATGAACCCTGAAGCCTGTCGGGGACGAAGGGCAAAGTCTCATGTGGGTAGGAGATGAGTTGTGTATCAGAGGACCTGGCTTGTCTGAGAGAATTCTGAGAAGGAAGCAAAAGCTGTGCTTGGGCCTTCTCCTTGGCATCCCTGTCTCACCTACAGCCCTGTCCCTCTCCTAGGAGCAAGGGAAAAGTCTACCCAAAAAGCATAAGGAAGGTTGTGCAGCAAGCCTGGGGCTTAAGGACTGCCTGCTTTGCTCAGTGTGGCTCAAAGCCCTCTAGCCCAGCCATGGGCTGTTTTTCCTTTCTTTGGAGAGGAAAGCTGTCCGGTGATAGTGGAAGTTATATGTTCTCATTAGCTGGGCCTGCTGGTGTCTGATTGTTTGCAACCCACGTGCTTAGGGCATAATGCTAAGATGAGGGCTGGGACCCATTCCAGGCATCATCTTGTGAGCCTGTTAGAGGTTGCAGGAAAAAGCTCCAAAGGACTGTTCTATTGATGCATCTGGAAAGCTTAGCTGTTAGAAGTAGTAATGAAACCTAGGAAACTGTCTTTCTATACAGTACAATGGAAAGCATTTGTATAACCTGTCTGATGTTCTGCAAAGAACTTGTGCCTCCTTCTGGGTAATCTAACCCCATGTCACTAGGTAAGAAATAATGCATTTGTGTATCTTTGTTCAATTCTCAGGTAGAACAAACAATTGTCCAAAGCACATGCCGGAAGGAACTGTGTCAGATATACAGTCTAAAAGCTTATAGGGCAACTACTTGGATTGCAAAGATATAACAGGTTTCCTCTTGTGGGCTGTTACAATTAGGATATTAGTCTGTGTCTCATGTTAAATCATGGGTAGGGCTGTTTTATGGGACTACTGTTACACAGAATGGTTTAAGTAAGGGACCAGTTTAGAGGAAGAAAAGAAAATATTGATATGAGGCAGTTTTATGATAGTGTAAATCAAATCCAAAGTTTGAAATCCAAAGGAAATAAATTATTTATGGTATGAATTATATTTGGTACATTGTTCCTGATTTAACCTTCATAAATGGTTCAGTTCTTCTGTTTTGTCTCATTTGCCAGCACTGAAATAGATGATACATAGTTTGACTTTAAATTCTCAGTTACTTAAAGAATTGTAACGAATGTTTAAAAACTGAAAGGTTTTTTATGCTGTTGGTCAATTTGTGTGGGCTGAAAAACATTTATCCCTGTTGTAATCATGTATGAATAAGGTGATAAAGGAAAAATAAAGCACCAGTCAGTGAGAAAGTATGTTTTACTTCGGTCTATGGTAGTTCTTAGGTGTGCTTCTTTAATTTGGGCTTCATTGAAAAATAACTGAGAATACTTTTTCTTCAAAACCATAGTTAGCTTCAATGAAAGGACTTTCTTTTTTACTTAGTGTCAACAATGTAAATTTGGAAAGGCGTCTGATGGAGAAAATATTTCCTCTTATGCATTTTGTTTAACTAATCAATCTTGGGTAATCTGATTCTGCTCTTTTGCTGCTTGTGGTGTGAATGCCTACTAACCAAAAGTTGATGACAGCCTGTGTTTTAATTTTCTATGAGACCTGTAACCAGCTGTCACTAAGGATGTGCCATTTTGTCAATATTGAGTCAAGAAACAATTTAGCTCCATGAAAACATTCTTACTATAATCTGTTTCACTATACCAGACAGGAAAACAAGCACAAATAATTTAGCAACACCAAAAATAAATTTGTTACCAGGAAGGAAAGATGAAAGTGTGTCCTTCAGTCTTCAGTTGAATATGAGAATTACCATGGTGATTACATGTTTATTATAGTGTGTTATAATTGTTTTATAATTATATTATGGATATAATTTAATTCTTGCCAATGGGCTACCAGTTATCACTCTTTGAAGTCAAGGTTCAATATCCCAGTCATCTAACTTTGTAAGTAGATACCCAGAAAATTTATATCAAATAAATGAAGGAAAAAAAGAAAGAACAGAAGTACCATATATCTAGGATATTTAAATATTGTGCCTTGGTCTTTACTACTCTCAGTGTCAATTAACACTTTGCATGTTTACAGTTTATGTATTGACTGACAAAATACTAACTTACCTATTCACCCTAATCTTATCAGCAATAGCCATGTTGGTACATAGCTTCGAGGTTATGGTGAAGTTTAGTAAGTGATTCTTTGTCAAATGTTTTGAAATCTGCAGATAAAAAATCTTAGCACAAATACATACAGAACTGATGAATGGTTATCTGGAACAAATGCCATATCCTTAAAAATAGCAAGGACATGTAATTGGTTTTACATGTGGCCCTTAGCTAGAATTGTGTTATATGCCGACTCCTAAACTGATCGCTGAAAGGAAATAGAATTGACAAGATTAGCTTAGACTAATGAAGATTTACCTCCTTGGGATGAGGAGGATCCCAGTTTCCCCTGCTGTCCCACGCTGCTGTAAGAATTATATTTGGTTGCACACTGGAAGAAACTCAAAATAAATGAGTATTTTATTTCTCTCCCACATAGAAGTTTGGTAGACAGTACAGCCAATGACACCATCAGGTGCCAATAATAACTAATATCAATATTTTCTTTTCTTCCTCTAAACTGGTCCCTTACTTATTATCTTAGTTTTCTACCCAAATATTCTCATATTAGTCTCTTTTTGTGTTGCTATAACAGAACACCTGAGACTGGCTAATTTGTAAAGAAAAGAGATTTATCTGGCTCACAATCCAATCCTGGGACAGCAGCATTGGCATGGGCCTCAGGCTGCTTCCACTCATGGCAGAAAACAGCAGGGTGGCCAGCGAGTGCGAGGAGACCACATGGCAAGAGGAAGCAAGAGGGAGGGGGAGGTGCCAGGATCCTTTAAAAAACAAGCTGTCGTGGGAACTAATAGAGTGAGAAGTCACTCACTAACCCCCCAGGGAGGGCACTAATCTGTTCATGAGGGATCCATCTGCATAATCCAAACACCTTCCAACACTGCCACATTGGGGATCAGATTTCAACTTAAGCTTTGGGACACATGGCAAGAGGAAGTGAGAGGGCGGGGGAGGTGCCAGGGTCCTTTAAAAAACAAGCTGTCGTGGGAACTAATAGAGTGAGAAGTCACTCACTAACCCCCCAGAGAGGGCACTAATCTGTTCATGAGGGATCCATCTCCATAATCCAAACACCTTCCAACACTGCCACATTGGGGATCAGATTTCAACTTAAGCTTTGGGGGGGATAAACATATCCAAGCTATAGCAATAGTAAACATGTGACTTTCATTGGGAGGGTAGCTGCTGAAGCACCAGCCATCACTTTGATGTCCCAGGCAAGAATAGGAAAAACAATGAGCTCCCTTCTTAGAGACACCTATAAGCCCAAGAAAATAGTCTGCTTCTATCTTATTGGCCAGAACTTAGTCACATTGGGACATTTTGCTACGAAAGTGAAAATGGGAAATGTAGTTGGATGTTCCCAGTCAAAAAAATGGGGTTCATTGCTTAGGAGGAATGGGGAAACAGAGATTGGAGTAGACAACTCCCAGACTCTATTACAGGTCGCAGCAACAAGAGGATGGCATGAATGATGACAAGGAGGAAAGCAGGCACACAGGAAGCCGAGTTGCCCCCATTCTCGACCATTCACCCTATCTCTGTTGCAAGTAATTTAAGCAGTGAAATAGACGGCAAGAGATTAGGAAGGAGAGGCTAAGGACACTGTAAATCAGCAAAGTGTAGAAACTGTGTACAGATAATTAGGATCATGTTTTGCACTATATCATTTTTTAGCTGTCTTGGAGTACTTTACATATGAAAGAGTATTATTTTTCCAAATATGGAAATGTGAAAGTCAAGGTATGAATGATCTTTCCAGCTTAACTACCTTAATTAGTAACAAGGTCACCTTTGGTAAAGGCAAAATATTACCTAGAAGGATAAGCTTATTATGAAAAGAATCTGATCCTCTAGAAGTAGAGGAAAGAGGCAAATGAGGCCCTAATTAGCTATAATAAGCTGTGGCATACTTATTGGTAAATTAGAGTCCATGCAAATAAAATCTCATTATTATAAATGCCAACTTTTTTCCTTTATTTTTTAAAGGTAGCCAACCAAGTTGTTCAAGCTCTGCTCACTCAAAAGGTAGGTCACTTTCCAGTTTTGTTCTTTTTAAACTACTTATGTGACTAGATTGGAAGTCATATTGTCAGTCTAGGAAATCATGATTGATAGATGCAATACTTTTCTATTTATTCACTTAGGTTAAAACTGTGTGTATTTTAGATGGCATGCGAAGTAACATCAATGACCAATATAATTGTAAAATTCAAACTCTTGGTAAAGTAATAGAAAGCCTTTTGATGATGAAAGATTTCCAGGTACCCAGATGAATAGCAAACCCATCATTTTTATGTGGTAAATACAAACTTTAAATATGCTGGCGGATTCTTCTGCTTCCTATTAAATAAATGACCTCCTGTGGACAGCATTAACAGAAGCCTAGAAATCAGCAAAAGACCTTTGAGATTGGGGAAATTATGTAATTTCTCTGAGCCTTAGTTCCTCTTCTGTAAAATGGGGATAACATTCCTGCCTCCCAGGATTGCTGTGGCGATCCTGTGACAGGAAGCACGTAGAGCAGTTCCTATAGGACTCATTTTGTGGTAAATATGAAATAAATGGGAACTACAGTGCATGAAATTTCTATACCTACTCCTTTGCCACCTTCCTATTCTACCTTCAGACAATACAAGTTCACATTATTGGGACACACCAGGTAAATGCAGGTCATCATTTGCCCAAATTTGGCTGGTTTAGTGGATTTTGTTGAATGTTTCCCATCTCTTGTCATATTTTTCTCAGAAGCTAGATTCTTATTCTCTCAGATTCTGTTTATTCTGATTTCTCTCTCTGTGAAATGGAGACCTCCTCTCCAAAAAGAAATCTTAGATCATGCCACATATTCAGAAGGATGTGACTAGCGAAAGCAGAATAATTTATGCCATTTTGTTTTTTTAATTGAAAACAATTTTCTTAGAGGTTGAGCACATCTCATGGGGATACTTAATAAATATTAGTTCTAATTTATACTATACACATATTGTGATAATATTTTAGCTAGACTTTCTTCCCTTCTACTTCTATCAAAATGTCGTGCTTCCTTCTACAAATAATTTTTAACTGCTTCAGGCTTTATGCTAACATCACATAAAGACATTTGAGTTCACATATGTAGAGTTAGAATTAGGTTCCATTGTAACAGTGATTGAAAATAGTGGTGGCTTAACTAAGCTAAAATGTTTTCTTTCTCACATGTAAATCCACAGGCAGGCAGTACAGGACTGTTATGTTGTCCCTGCTCCATAAAGTCCATGGGGTCCCTGCCTTCTATCTTGTTGTTCCATGGGATGCAGCCTTCATTTCCAAGGTCACCTCATGGTCCAAAATGGCACCTCTAGCTCCGGTCATCACATCCATATTCAAGCTAGTGGGAAGGAAATGAAGACTATGAAGAGGGTAAAGGAAGACTTCCAAAAGCTTTCATATGTCCCTACTCACATCTCCTTGAATAGACCTTAGTCACAGAGCCACACCTAAGGAAGCTGGCAGTGAAGTCTTTTTTCTGGGTATGTGCCCAGCTGAAAATTGATTGTCATATTACCATAGAAGAAGGTGAGAAGAAGATATTGAAAGGCAGTTCACAATTTCTGCTGCAGCATATTTGAATGCCTTTTCTTTTTCAAAGGCTTTAATTTCTCCACTGTTTTCCTCCTGCTGGAAACTGTATGCTTATTTAGTTACAAACCTAAGGAATGAAGGAAACACTTTTGAAGCTCTAGGTGGAACTGCTGAAAGACTTCTCATGCCTGTTTTTTAATGGTGCCTCAGGAAAGAGACAAGGAAGCCATCTGGTACAAGAAAAAGGAAAACGGGACCCTTCAGGTCAGCCACAAAAAATAGCTACACAAATTCAAGCAATAACTAGTAAACAGATAAATCTACCTTGGTACAGTTAAGCAGTAAGACACAGAAAGACGTGCTACTGTGAGATAGCATACCTCAGGGACACTATAAGGCAGGAAGAGATGCCGGGGGCTTTTGGAGAGTCCAAAAGAATCATGTTCTGCAGAAATGTGTCTCTCTTGGTTTTTATAGGGACCATAAAATTGCTACATAAAAACTAAAATTTCTTTTTAATTAAGAGCAAAATATAGGAAATAAAATGTGCTCCAAATGCAGATGAGAAAACTAATTCTGAAGAGGAATGTAGCTGGCACAGAGTGAAAACAGAAGTATTGAGTGATTTATTCAACTCACAAAAAAATCCTTGAGGTAAAATTATAGGCATAACTATACAGTTTTAGAATATGTCATTTGTTATGACACAAAGGCAAATCTGCCATGTTTTCAGCTCTGCACTGGACAACCAAAACAGCATTTTTCATGACATATCATGAATCGGCCCAGATAAGCATCCTGAAGCAACAGAAGATGCTAACACTGATAGAAAAAAAATTTTTTTTTGTTTCTAAATACTTATCAGTTTCTGTTAAATGTATACATACTATCTTAGTCAGGTAATTCAATTTTTCCCAGAAACCTGTGGATTCTCGTAGGAGAACAAATTGTACCCTTTTAGATCAATAATGCTAAAGTGACAATGTTAAACCCAGCTCACTTCCATTTATGCCTTCAAATCATAGGTCCAAGTCTACAAGTGCAAGTGAAATCAATAATCCAGGCTAAACTCATATTTTTGTCTGAAATATATTTTATCTTCATTAAGTTGGTTACACTTGCTGAAAATGTAACTCTCCTAGGTTCCTCACTGTGGTCTTTTTGCCACTAACATCAAACTTGGAGGAAATGCCTTTTCCCTGCAATTCTTTTCCTCCATATCAACAGTCTCAGCCTTATTTGCACGTTCTTTAGAGTAACCAAATATTTATATGGTGTTTTTTCTTCACCAGCATGGGATGAGGCTGTTGTGTGGTTGGATCCAGCAATACAGCCATTTGTATAGAAGCAGAAAACAGTTTTGTAGCTTGTACCTGAAAGAACTCCAAACCCCTACATGTTTCCCTTGTAAGAGGGGCAATTGGACCATCTGTATCCACTACTCTAGCCATGGTGTATGTAGAATCTGGTTCCTGGAGAGGATCTTTTAATATTTACTGGGCATTTACAGGCAGTCAGATCCCATGTCCAGCACTTCAAATGCACTAAGACATTTTGTTCTCACGGCAACTCTGTGAGGTAGAACTAAGAAAATAATTTGCCCATAGTTGTAATTTCTTGACATGATAGAGCCCGTGCCCTAGCCTGTGGCTGTCACGCTGCACACCCCATGCTCTTACCCACTGCACTGTTCTGCCTCCACCATCCCATTTAATCACTTACTGGTTTTCCCCACCATAGTTTGGTAACAGAGAGGGATGCCATGAAAATCAGCACATGGGTTGAAATCCAACAAAACCAAAAGGCAAGGTAGCCAGTAGACTTCTTAAAATTTCTGGAAGCATTGCCAATCCTCAGACATGTGGGGAGTAAAACTGACTCTGTAAATTTGGAGTCAATCTTTCTGAGAATCAATCTTATTTTAGATCCTAGAATTTCACAATTGCCAGGGACCTCAGTGAGTATTTAATCCTAAGATTGTCAACTAGCTGTGGTAATAGAATCAATTAACTGTAGTTACAGAAACTGGGTAGCCATCAGCTAGATTAAAGATGGTTTAACAGGAAGTCCTTTAGGATGAAAACTTATTTGTCACAGGACTAACCACTTTCTCGTTATTATTCTTATTTAGTTACACATTTATGTCACCTTTTCTGCCTGTTAGGTATTTGATGTTGAGGCCCTTGGGCAGTCTGAGATGTGACCAGCCTTTTCCAGAAATGGCTCTTTTTTTTTTCCCTACAAAAGTCTTAGCATCTTTGGCATAGATAAAGATGTATCAGTGAAAGCCACTTAGAAGAGATGTGACAAGAGACTGGTAGGTTTTGGGGGCCATTAAGCTTCAGGGGAGGAATAGGGTGGCACTTGACAAGCCATCCCAGAAAGCAAGTAAGACATCTGATCTCTTGAAAAGCCCAGTTTTGTGCAGTTTCCTTATCAGAATAACTCACTTCCTCAAGGTCATGTGGATAACTAGGACCAGAGCCCAAGCCCTCTAACTCCCCAAACAGTGTGTTCCCACGACAGACACTGCCTTTGAAAAAGGTATACCACTATAATATCATTTTTACATGATAAAATCAGATTTAAGTAGTTTTCAACAATACTTCAGTGATAATGTCAACGTATGTCCTGCTTCTAAGCAATCAGCATTCTCTTAAATTTACTTCAGCCTGGAGTTGATAATGGTTTTACTCTGAAGTACGTGAATTAACTGTACTCCCACAGGTGCTATTTAGAAGTGTGTCCAGAATCTTCCCCACCCCAAGTACACATGAAACTTACCAGGATAACATTATGTGGATCCTTCAAGGAAATTACGGTCTGGAATCATTGAGATGGACAGGGGTGCTTTAGACCAGTGTGTCACATTGTGTCACATTACTCAGTACGTTTTGCTCTTACATTCAGCTATAATCCCTTAATCTGTGTTTCCAATTGATAGTGACATGCACAATGCATGGATAACAGGTCTCCCTATTTTCTTGAATCCAAAGGCCAAGGAAATTACGGTCTGGAATCATTGACATGGACAGGGGTGCTTTAGACCAGTGTGTCACATTGTGTCACATTACTCAGTACGTTTTGCTCTTACATTCAGCTATAATCCCTTAATTGATAGTGACATGCACAATGCATGGATAACAGGTCTCCCTATTTTCTTGAATCCAAAGGCCACTGTACTTTCTTACAAGTAATTAAATGTAGTCAAATCTTTGGCATTATTTTCTCATAGAATGATATGTCATTGCTCCTTTTATAAATATCTGATATATATATATATCAGAAGACACAACCCTATATTTTCAGCGAACTCCTCTTGTTGAGGCCTTATATATATATATAAATATCTGATATATATATATATATCAGAAGACACAACCCTATATTTTCAGCGAACTCCTCTTGTTGAGGCCTGAGACATACTTAGGAAGTCATAGAAAGAAAATAAGTGTTGTGAAAGAAGACAGATGGTCCAGCCCCAGATGGTCCCAGACTGTGGCATCTGAATAGAGGAGAGTTATTTCTTTTCTAAAGCCTCTTGTGCTGGCTATTCTAGGTCTTGCCTCTATAACTGACAGGGTCAGAATAGTTGCTCTTGTACCCAGTCTAAATGTGTCATATGCTCCTTTATGTCAGAGGGTTTCTGTTATGAGCACAGAGGAAACAAAGACAGCCAGTTGCTGCCCTCTGCCTGGGTACCACCATAGTGGTGAGAGAAACAGTGGGTTTTTTCTGTCCACTCTGTTTGTGTTTAGTGTGTGTATATGGATGGCTTTGATTACACTTTCTGAGGATGGCAACTCCCTAACATCAGGTACCATCCACAGCTTGACCAAAGAGAATAAGAGTATTAAAAACAACACAAGCAATTATTTTCCATCTGCAAATTTTCAGACCAGTTCATTTCTT